GAAATCATACACATGTTGTAGCTGGTATTACCAGACCCAGCAGTAATGGAAAAGATTATATGCCTCCTTATATAACAATGCACGCTTGGATACGAGTTGGTTAAATCTTTAACTTTACATAAATGAGCTTGAAAGAAGTATTTCGAACAACATCCATGGAGGTCTTTTAAGAAATTCAATGAAGCTGCAAAGAGTTCGGGATTACTAACAGAGCTGAAGTGAAAAGGTTCTTTGACAAAAATGTTACATCAAACAAAAATAAATCCTTACGACTACTTTTTACCAATTTACTCCAAACTCCTGACGCATACCAATTTGACACTCTCATTCAAAGCAGAAAGGAGGACATAAACCATTCCTCATTCTTCATTAATGTTAACACTCGCAAAGCTTTTGCGTAATAATGAAAATAAAGGAACTCATGAAGTGTTTAAGAAGTGTTACAAAAGTTTGTAGCAGAACATAGCCCAAGTATTTTAACATCAGGACCAAGACGGTGCATACCTCAGCAACGAAATCACAGAATTTCTCATTATAGCATACATAACTCACTACACTACTGAAGACCATAACCATAAACATACTCGTATCATTAACCGCTTCATAAGGACTCTCAGAGATTTAAATCAAGAGCGAGACTTTACCGAAGAAAACAATGAAACATTTCATCGAAGTTTACAATTCCTCAACACATTCTACAACAGGACATACACCAAATTCAATGACACAACAACAAGAAGAAAAGTATATTACAAAAGAACAACGAAAGTCAAACACAAAATATCAGAATTCAACACAATTTAACCCTCATTCCTGGTACAAAAGTTCGTGTTAGTTCTTTGGACGACAAACCGTTGACAAAGGAAACGTTAAGGTTAAGTCGAAATTATTATATCGTAGACTCTACGCAAGGTAATGGATATCTTATAAAAAGCTGCTGACGGACTCCATAGCATTTTACCCTCGTCATAAATTAGTCGAAAGTAGTAATGGCAAACTTGCTTGAAACCATTGACGAAGCAAAGCGAGGAGTGGTTATTGAAATACTTGACTACAACATAAACGATGGACACTTATAAAGTAAGATATATGAAGGAGGTGTTGAAGATTTATACCATCTAAGAACTTGAGAGAATCTAAACCAACTCATCTGGGACCATTAGAGCGGGAGTACTGGAAAGATAAAAACATGCCAGAAAGAATAAGAAAATTCTTTAAACTTTTTCGTTGGATGTAAATCAGACATGAATGAGAACAGTCATGTATTATATAATGGTACCATTTATTTTTGTCATAAATTTACACACAAAAATAATGTTTAGGTGAAGAGGTGAGATGTCAACCCGTTTTTTCACCTGTTTTCTCACCTCATGAATTTTCATGAATTTCCTTAAGATAGAAAAAATAAAACTAACTTTATTTTTTTATTTTTTTATTTTGTATAAAAGATATGATTTCAACAATCGCACAACAACAATTCAAGCCGCGAACGGCGGACTCTGTCCACAACAACAGCACCAAACTCGTTAGTCATGAATCCAAACATCTATGTTAGTAAGAAATGAAAAGCTTCATTCCTTCTTCATATACTTTTGAAACAGAAATACAAAAAATTAAGCAGGAACTTTTAACAAGTAATTTAGACTGTAGTGCGAAAGATGAAACAAATGAAGAATATCTTTATGAAATGCAGGACATTATTGACCATTTGCCTAAAACTACCTGAAATCCAACAACAAAAACTCACTATTCCTGAATTCGACGAAATTGAAGTGAAACCAACTGACTCAGTAGAAATTAAGAAATTCATACGAAAGGTAAATTATGAATTCCTTGGTTTTCATTGCAACCATAAGGTTATGGACAAAGATTGCGACATGGTATATAAAAACATTTCTGACATATATAAATCTGAAGAATTTAAGACTTACGATAACTTTGTTTCATTAGTTGCTGAATGTGTTTGGGAAATAAGAGATAAAGATAGAAGAGGCAAAGTATGGAACGAACAACTAAGACCCGCTATGTTTGAGATGAAGAGAGCAATTGACGCTTTAGTTGTTTTAGCTGGTTTTATTTCAATGTATAACGCAAAAATGAACCCGCAATGTTCAAAATGTAAGGCAGCAATTAGGAAATATAACTACTCAGTCAAAGAGATAGAAAGAATGCGAAACGACTATGCTGACTTAAAGAAAGAAGCAGAAAAGCCAGCAGAAGATAAAATGGACATGTTAGCATTTCTGAACAAAAACTATCCAACAGCAGAAGATTTCCTTCTATCTGACGTCAAGAAGAAGTATAAAGAAACCTTCGGTATTGTTAAAACTTTTGACATACTGACAGAAGAAATAGAAGCTACGAAATTGTTTAGGATTTCAAATATACATCGTACAATTCAGTAAAACGCTTGTGAAAAAACTGGGGTAAAAAAGAGGTGAAAAAACGGGTGACATCTCACCTCTTCACCTAAACATTATTTTTATTGAATTTAGCAACAAAATCTGAGTAAAATAATTTTTAGGGCTTGTGTCAAACCGTTGAGTTTTCACAAAATTTAAAAAAATAACGTTACCATGTGAAACGTTTATAAAATAACTAGGTGAGAAAACAGGTGAAAAAAACGGGTGACATCTCACCTCTTCACCTAAATTATATTTTGGTCAAAGCTTCCACGAGAGAAAAGATTCCTCATTTGCTAAGGATTCCAAAAATGAAAAAATCGTGATTTCGGCTGAGAAAAACGGCAAAAACCCTTCTTCCACGGGAACAAAGAAATAAAGAAGAAATAAAGTAAATTTTTTATTTATTCCCGTGGAAGATAGAGCACTTTTATGACACTTTTATTCACGACAAACAAGACAAACAAAGAAAAATAAGAAAATACGGCGCTGTCGCGGTTCGAACCACAGACCCTGACCCCTCCATAACACCACCTTTGACCACTGTGCTACGTAGCCTGTCGACATAAGATTTTATAAATTGCATATTGACGTAAATTTATTTCCATCTGGCTTCCCACTGCATAAATATTCATACGTTTTGTAAGACATTCATTAAACTTCTTTTCTATTGCATCTAATCTTGCGTTTTTTTTCAATAACTTGTCTGTATTCTTCATCATCTCCAGCAGTGTTTGGTCTTCACGTTTAAAATATTCATTGTTAACCAATTTTTTATCTAACAAATTTTATTAGTGTTTGATTCACTTCGTTATGATAACGGTCATATTTCTTTCAATACGTAAGTGAAGACAAAATGCGTCGTACCTTCAATCTTAAAGCTTAAAGAACTTTCAACACAGTTTTGAGGTCTGTCAGTGCGTCAATGAGATAGTAATTCGAAGTCAGTCAATAATCTTTTAAAGTCATTTCATACAGGATAAAATTTAATGTTGTGAAGAAATAGTGTTTATCTCAAAAAAAATAAAGTTAGTTTTATTTTATTTATTTTTTATCCTGTATGTAAAGACAGATATGTCAACATTAGAGAACACAACAACTGCTATCGTTCATGAAGTCATAAATGAAGAATACGAATACATACAGTATAACAAACAATTGAGACTCATTCGTTCTGTCAAAGACGACATGTACCAAATGCAAAGTATTTTGACGGCTTGTTTTGCTCCAGATACTAAGCTTCCTAAAGACTGGTTTAGGAACCAAAGCACCATAGAACTATTAAGTGAAGCACAGCGAGACGTACTTTTTCTGAAAACAGTGGAAGAACAGCGAGTAGGTAAAAAATCCCAGTCGCCAAAACTCTATGAAAACCGTGAAAAATTGCCAAACGGTTTGAGAGATATATGTTCATAGACTTTTAGTAAATGCAGTTGCAATGTGGGCTTCACCACGTTATGCTTGGAATATTTACAAACTTCTTGACGAACTTCACAGACAAGAACGTGAGAGATGGAAAAGAAACTTCAAGCAAAAAGATGAAGTCATTGAATCCAAAGACAAAAGCATACAGAAAAGAATACCGCGTTCAGTACCAAAAGGAAAGGAAAAGAACTATAAGTATATGATTTATACTGAAGAGTTGGAGAATGAAGAAGACAGAGATATGGTTATGTTGCATTTAGTCAGAAGAAACAACAAAAGCTTTTACGACCTTGCTAAAATATATAAATCTGACAGAAACTGGTTCTATCGTGAAAACTTACCGATTTCAATGACACCGAATGAGCAAATAAAAGAAATTGTCAAAAATACTCTTCCTCAAACACACTATGACATCAAAGGTTGCACAATACTTACCTTCAAAGAAGACTTACCATTACTGAAGGAAAAAATAACAGAATATTTCGATAACTTCAAAGAGGAAGAATGAAGTCACGACAACATTAACGAAGAAGTCACGACAACATTAACGAAGAGAAAACAGGTGAAAAAACAGGTGACATCTCACCTCTTCACCAAAAATATATTTTTGGTTAAATAGCTTCAGGGTCAATTTCTTCAACCATTTCACTTCCTTCGTCAATGTCAATAGAAGCTTCTTCAACCTTTGGTAAGAACTTTTGTATAACATCTTTGTTCGTTATTGTCTTCAGAGATGAAGGATAATATTTCACAGATGTTTCACCCTTCTTATATTCTTTCTGTTCGGAAAGATTCATAGCAATACTGAAGAAGTCAATGTTGGAGTTCTTTATAACAGTATAATGAGTATCTTTGACATTCACGAAGAAACCCTTTTGTTTCAAAACTACTGCTAACTCTTGTGAAGTATAACGTTTGCGGTCAATGACAATAGCTAATGGTCTGACATACTGACCGAACTTAGATTCTTTCACAAACTTCTTGTTAAAGATAACATTAACGTTTGCAGAACCATTGAACTCATTCTTGATGGCAGTAGCGAGAGCATTGTATGAAAAGAACTTGCAATCTTGCATGTGTTTCATTAAAATAAAAATATTAAATTATTTTGAAAAATAACTTAAAAAAATGTAATCTAATTTTTCAAAAAATATTTTTTATCCGATAGAAAAGATGACAGAAAAATTAACTTTTTACATAGCGCCAGACCCTTCTTGCCCACATCCTTTTAAGCCACAATATATAGACATAGAACTAAATAGAGAAAGCGAAATTCCACAATATATATACATAGAACTAAATAGTGAAGGCGAAATTCTACAAACAGAAGAAAGCGAAATTCCACAAACATATAGAGACCTAGATAACGAAAATGGATATGCGCTATTCTGGTTAGATTGTCCTTATAAAATGTATGAAAAAAAGGCTTTATATGAAGAATATAGAAAATATTGTCATGAAAACGATATAAGACCAAGCTCTAGAGAAAAATTCTATGCTGGTATAAAACATCTTTTCGAAGTTCGGAATGGCAAATATATAAAGAAATAATTTTTCTAAGTTTATTTTTTCGAAAAAATATTTTTTTATTTCCTACTAAAGATGTATCGGAAGTTGTCTAAGTTAGAACACTCGGAAATAAAACAACTTCTTACAGAAGCTAATATAGAAGTAGCAAAGCATTACGCAACAAACAAAAAAGCACTCGCTGACTTCATTAAAGACTACAATGGTGCAATAAGTTATGATAGAATTCATGAGTTCATAAAGCCGCAACGCGGCGAGGACGAAGTCCATGCAATAGCATTTCCTTTAAATGACGTTGCTATTGACTTATATCATAGACGTTCAATACCTCATGAAGTAAGGCGTGAGATGTTTGACATAACAAATGCGAACGTTGGTGAAACAAGAAGAAGAGACGACACACTGAAACAACAGAGAAGAGAGATGTTTAAAAGTGCTATAGAACAAGTTCGCAAAGCTAACGATGTCATTCGTTCCATTGACGACAAACCAAAAGAAGGTGAGAGATGGTTAAAGAAAGATGAAGAGAATAGGAAGAGAAATGTGAAGTCAGGCAATAGACTCATTGACTTTAACATCGAAGCTTTAGATGAACCAAACAGAGACTACTTACACAAACATTTCGGTAAGGTTTTCATGAGACTCTTAGAGAAAATTAAAATAAACTCACACAAAGATGGATGGTATGTTATAAACTTGGTGGAAAGTATGAATGTTCTACGTTAAACCTCAATAATATTGGAACATTACTACATCAGCTCTTGAAGGAGAACTTTATATCAGAGATAGAAGCAAATGCTGCAGGTATTGTTGAAATGCACTATGACTTCTTCTTGACAAACATAAAGAATCTTACTGAAATAAAGATGTATGATTTAACAGAATATGAAGGCTTAACGATGTCAGATGTAAAGAAAGGCAAACCAAAAAAGAGACCATATAGAGATGAAAGCACACTGACAAATGACCAGAAAGCCATTTTGGAAGCTCTTAAGCAAACAGGAAACCCAGCACTTATAGAAAGCTTTTGGAAAGATAATGGTGAAAAGAAGTTTTATAAGAAGAGAAGCGGTCAGTTATGGAAGTATCTTTGCACATTACCTATAAATCTTGAACGCTACCAAATCTTCAATGAACTGAACAAAAGAACTGCAATACTTATGACAGAGGACAATTGTTTCGTTTATGCTTGCATTCAGGCTGGAGTAAATGAAGAAACTATTGACCACATGAGAGAAGTCATTCGTGTTAGAGACTTTCCTCAAAGTAAAGTACAAGAAATTTCTGACGCAACAGGTATAGCATTTAATGTTACCATTGGTTATTTCAATGACTCAAGACATAATGAAATAAAGAGATATATACCAAAAGAATGCGAAACTGTTAGAACTATTGACTTACTTCTTGTTGAAGACCACTACATGCTAAATGAAAGACTTCCAATGACAACATACTTCATTCGAAACTATAAAGAAATTCTCAAAGCTTGTGGTGGAATGAACATTGAGAAACAGATGAAGATTTATACAAAGAGAGAAGATAAATATGTAGTTCGTTATGATAGAACAACACCGTTATGGGATGTTATGAAAACATTGTGGGAGTGCAAATATTTCGAACCTATTTCTTATGGAGAACTTTTCACATATACTACTGACTTATATAAACAGAACCTTGCACCATTTAAAGATTTGACATATGCTCCAAAGTATTGTGTACAACTGAAGAAGAAAGCAGAGTCAAAAGAAGTAAATAAAGCTAAATGTAAATTCATTCCTGAGCACGTTTTCTTTGCTGACTTTGAGTGTAGTACGGATGGCTTTCATAAAGCTTTTAACATCTGTTATGACAGTGAAGATGGTTCAGTGAGTGAAAGCATTTGGGGTCAAAACTGTGCAACAGAATTTTTGGAAAGACTCCCTGACAAGAGTTTAATATATTTTCACAACCTCAGTTATGACATAAACTTCATCTTAAGACACATGACAGAAGTGAAAGGAACTCCCATCATTAAAGGTTCACGAACAATGCAAATAACTGGTTTATATAAAGGACGGGCAATTATTATAAAAGACTCTTACAGTGTTATAAATAAGAAGCTTAAACTATTTCCTGCTATGTTTAACTTACAAACAGGACCGAAAGAAGTATTTCCATATAACTACTACAGCAGTGTTTTGTTAGCAAATGACAACAGAACTGGTGTCATTTCTGAAGCATGTAAGTTTATCCGGGATGCAGATACATTTATGAAAAACATAGATTCCATCAAAGGTTGCAGAATAGATGAGAACCACTTCGACTTAGAAAAATATAGCACGTTTTACTGCAAACAAGATGTAAGAATTTTAAGAGAAGGTTTTGTAAAGTTCCGCAATGACTTATTGAAAGAGTTTGATTTAAACGTTTATGACTACGTTAGTATTTGTTCAATTGCTAACAAATTGTTTGAGAACAGAGTATACTTCCCGAATGGAAATCTTTATGACCTCTCAAATAAACCAAGAGAATTTATTTCGAGATGCATTCAAGGTGGAAGATGTATGTTGTCAGATAACATGAAACAAAAGAGCAAAAAGAAACTCATTGCTGACTTCGACACTGTTTCATTATATCCTTCAGCTATAGCAAGACTTTATACTTTAGAAGGTATTCCAAAAGTATTGAAGGAAGAAATGTTAAGCACAGAGTATCTCATGAGACATTTATTCGATGATGACCAAAAGGAACCCATTGGTGAAAAGTTTATGTCTGGCTTCTTTGTTCTCATTAAGATAACAGAGATTGGTATACCCAGACACTTTCATTTAATAGTTTGCGACCCTGAACTAAATCCAGAACTTAACGTTCCAAGAAGTTCAAACACTTGCTGTCTCATGTATGTTGACCATATAACATTACAAGACCTCATAAAATATCAAGGTGTCAAATGTGAAGTGTTGCAAGGATACTATTACGATGGAAACAGAGATATGAGAATAAGAGATGAAGTAAAGAAGTTGTTTGAGTTAAGGTTAAAGTATAAGAAAGAAGAAAACCCCTTACAAGAAATTATAAAACTCATTCTGAACAGCATTTATGGCAAAACTATTCTATCTCCTATTGAGTCAAAAATAACCATAGTAGATGACAAAGATGCTATAAGATATGCTATAAGAAATTACAACCATATAGTGAAGTTCGAAGGTTTGGATGGTTCAGATAAAACTATTTTCAAGCTAACGAAAAGCATTTGCAGACACTTTAACTTCTGTCCACTTGGTGTTAATATTCTGTCTATGTCAAAACGTATTATGAATGAAGTATTCTGTACTGCAGAGGACATGGGTCTTCAAATATTTTACCAGGATACCGACAGTATGCACTTATATAATGAAGACATCCCAAAGCTTGCAGCAGAGTTTAAGAAGAGATACGGTAGAGAACTTATAGGAAAGAACCTTGGTCAATTTCATAGCGACTTTGCAGAAATAACACCTGGAAAACAAAGTTTAGCTTATAAAAGTATTTTCTGTGGAAAGAAGACCTACATAGACTTACTCACGAATGATTTAAATGAAGTTGCATTTCACTGCAGAATGAAAGGCGTGAAGCAAGATGTTATTGCTTTAACCGCTAATGAAATGTTTCCTGAAGCTATACAATGCTATTACAATGAAGATAAGAACATTCACATACCTGTTGGAACATATGACAAAGACTCTGAGTTCAGTTTAATGAAACTTTACAAAGCACTTTATGATGGTCAAGAGATTGCATTCGACTTATGTAAGTCATGTCAACCTTGCTTTGCTGAAAAGTTCAACTTTTCAATAACGACTAAAACAAGCTTTATTCGTAAGTTGAAGTTCTGAGGTCATTTATTTTTTCAGCAATGAGGTCATGAATGAGGTCATGAATGAGGTCATTCGTGATAAAAATAAAGCTAGCGTAGATTTTACAATACTGCGATGGTAGAGTTTAAGAGTTGTGCTTCAATGTAGAGACAGTCCTTATTCTGGAGGTAAGAACACTGGACATTTATGGTCATGAGTGGAGAACATGTCTATCCAAAACTCACGATTGAAGCCAGTTAATTTATAGTATTTAGGGTTAGGAAGTGGTGAAGTTCTTGTATGACCAATGAACTCATTTTCAACTCCCTTACTTAAGTTTGAATATAATATAGCTTGCTTTCTATCCCAAATGCCAGGTGTTACAATCTTTGAAAATTCATTTTTCCTCGGAAGTATTGCATCATAATTGAAAACATTCTTGAAATCATCACTTGGTTCAGAGATTTGAAACCTTATACGTAATGGATTTTCTTTCTTTTTAGCGACTTCATTGAATGGTGAATATATAACAAACTGACAGTCATGAGTTCCATCTTCATTTTCATTAAATTCATAATGAAAGTCTATAAGTTGTGGCTGACTACCTTCTTCTTTCAGTTGTGCAAGAAACTCACGTAAAGGCTGTAAAGTTTGTACTTCAATATTGAACTTTTTCTCGAACATCTCATTAAATGAAATCATACATTGCAACAATGTTGTATCGTCTTTAAAGTATTTGTATATGTGAATGTTTTGGGCGCTTAAAGACTGTTCGTCATTTTCTATCTCGACTTGAAGTATAAAGTCAACCTTTCTGAAAGCACGTGTTATATACATAGATGTTATGCCAATGTACTTCTCTTCATTTATGTTCACAATCCAGTCTGTTGGAAACTTAAACGTTACTCTGTTCCCCTTTATTTTGACGTCAGGGTTTTCACTACTGAACGCAACAGATAAAGGTATTTGTCTATACATTTAGTTTGGATAAAAATAAACCATTTACTCTTTCTTTGCTTCAGCTTCCTTTGCTTTTTGTTCTTCCTTTGCTTTTGCTTCTTCTCTAGCTTTTTTCGCCAGCAAACGTGGGTTCTTCTGTCTTCCAGCAGCTAATGCAGCTAGTTGTTTTTCACTAAGTTTTCTCTTTGGTCTCTCTGGCTTTTGTTCTTGTTTTTGTTCCTTCAGTTCGGATAAAATTTGTTCACGAATTTCTTTCTTCAATGCTTCAACATCTATGACCCCTTGGGTCTTGTCCGTAGGCTTGTCTGAGTCATTTGACTGTAGATAAAAAACTAAATTAAAACTTTAACCGATGTAAAATGAGCTTGTCAAAATCAGAACGAGAGTCTATTATATTAAATGACGCCAGAGGAATACAACATCCTTTCTATTATGTAAGTCAGAGTAAAGATGGTAAAATATATGTAAGAAAAAGAAAGGTTCCATTAGCGAATACAGAGAGCGACAACATTAAGGTGCATGGCAAGGGAAGCCACGAAGCCCATATAAAACCTTCTGTACAAACTGAGCCACCAAAAGAACAAGAAGAAAAGAAGCCAGATGTACTTTCAATAACGAACCAAGAGCTTATTGCAAAGTTCGTGAATTTCATTGAAAAGCAAACCGAGTCAAAGAACCCTGACCCACCAGTGAAAGAAGTGAGACAAAAGAGAATGTACAGTTCATTGAAAATGTCAAGAAACAACTTCCACCACGAATACCAAGAAGAAGAGTGAGAATAATGAAGTAAATAGATATTTTTATCTGAAGTAAATACATGCAGAACGAACAGTTAAACGAATTTACTCCAGCAGAGCATATTCATCAGATTCGCTCATATTTCGATATCATAGACAATGCAGTTCAAATTGGTGACACTAATAGAAAATATTCTGACGCAAAGATTCCATCACAACCTGGAACTGCTAAAGATAACACATGGGTAACATTCAATCTCTCACCTCCTGGTGAAAATATGTTGGACCTTTACAATACATTCATTACGTATAAAATGGAAGGTCAATTTATTGTAGATAAAGAAATTGGTTCAGGTTCCAATAAAACAAACCCACCAGGATTTTGGATTGGTTTCGATGACGCTTTCTATGCAGTTGCTGGATATCAAATCCTTGCAAATGGTCGTATCGTATATTCTCAAGACAACGCAAGAGAAGAAGCATATATAACTTCAAACTCACAAACTACCGAACAAATAAAGAAAGTCGATGTTTTTTCAAAGACTCGACATGAAGATGTATGGAGTCATTCGGGAACATGCAGAACAGGACAAATTGTTGGTCCAATTACAGCAGGAAAATCATTTGATTTTAAGCTTCGTTTAAGAATTCCTGTTAGAAGATTCCTTCCATTAGAACCTATTCGATTTATTCCAGCTTTTGCAGGAAACATTCAGCTTAAAGTAAAGTTCAGTAGCGACGCCTTACAATGCACATCTATATCTGTAAATGATATCATTGCTTTCAATCCAACTCTTAAAGTTGCATTTGCTTCAGTTCAAATCCACCGACAAATAAATTTGTTCCATGGAATGAACCATTCACTATGATAACGAGTGCAACTGAAGCTAGTGGAACAGTTACTATTACAACTGTAACCCAGCAACTATTTCGAACAAAGATGGATTTTAATGAATGTTTTATTCATCCAAAGTCATTCTCTTTAGACCCTAACATTTATACAGAACTTGTAGAACATTATACAAACGAGGCTTTATGTTTTCCTGTTAAAGTTATGGATTGGATTCCTATGGATGGTTCATTCTCAAAGAATACAGATAGTTCAAGTGCAACATTTACAGCAGCTTATACGCCTATTAATGTTAAAAGTATTTGGGCACTATTTAGAAAGAAAGACAACTATTATGTTAATTTTGAGAACCCTAAGTTTAAATATCTTCAGCTTTCCATGGGAGCTTATGGAAATATGCCTGCAGAACCTGAAAAATCATATGGACCTGTATTTTATGAAATGGTTGCGAACGCTTGCAATACAAACAATGATATGATTGGATTTAATGAAGATGTTATGAGGTCATTGGTGGATGATGGTAGTGTGGAACATAAATGGGATAGCTATGACAACACACATTTCTTATGTGGTTTTCCAACAGAAGTGGACTTTTGCTTCCAGCAAGGTCAAACATCTACTGCTCCAATAACATACAAATTGTCTGTTAAAGGACCTATTGAACTAGCAACTGAAAATGTACCAAAGCCACTTATTGGATTTATGAGGGATTGTTGCTTTGCAATACAAGTAAGACAGTCAGGCATACCAATAATAAGACTTGACGACTATAACTTAGCACGGACGACAGTGAGGAATAAAGGATGAACGTTTATTTTTAAAGCTTATAAATGAGTTCTTCATCAAGCTCTCGTGAACCTTCACCATCTGTGAAACAAACTTTACCAAACGATTATGGAGCACCTATTGAATATTTCTTACGAGCTGCACAATGGCAAAGAGCAGTTTCACCAAGGTTAGGTGTTCCACCAGCTCCTGCCAAAAATAGCATTTGGTCAAGTCCTTATATAAGATATGGTCTCCCACTAGGTTTGCTAGCTACAGCAGGAGCAGTAATGATGTTGAAAAGAAACAAAGCAAATGTTATAAATAATACTGAAGTAGCTGAATTTGAACAAACTCCGACACCATCGCCAAAACCAACGTCAAAACCAACGCCTTCACAAACAACACCTTCAATGACTCCTGAACCTATGAAAGTACAAACTCCTGTTCAAAAGTCAACTCCAAAACCGACTCCAACATTTAAACCAGAACCTACTCCTCAAATAAATCGTAAAACTCCTGCGTTTCCTTACTGAAAAAATAATGTTAGTTTTATTTTATTTGAACATTTTTTTAGAGTAAAATGACGACTAAAGTCACTGAAGCAATGAAACAAAAATTTTTGGTAGAATACATTAAATCAGGAGCGGTTCCAGAAGGTTTTTACGTTCATACTATGAAGGATGGTAGAGTTCAGTTTAGAAAGATAAAGCAACCATTAGATAGAGAAGGTATATTAAGGAAGATTAAACTTCATGAGGACAACATTGCTGAACTTAAGAAGAAGTTAGAAGAGTTGGATAAAGGAAGAGAGTTATAAAGCAATGAATTCAACATGGTTAGAAAAGAGGTTAGAAAACGTGTTAGATCTAACATTCTAACATAAACATTATTTTTGTGCTATGTTTTCATACGTGTGAGGGTGGTGATATCATTAATTTTAAGTTTATTTTTTATTTTACTGAAAATTTTTATTTGG